GTTATCTTAGGACATGAAAAGTTGCTTCCCTTATATGTAATTGTAAAAAACGCCGATAAAAACCTAAAACTGCAAAACATAAAATGTGAAAACGCAACTTTGCATGTATCTTCTCATGGACCCAATGAATTTCCCTACAAAATTTGGTGAATTTCCATCTATAGAAGGTGAGGTAATAGTAATAAACGCAAAAACGCCCGTAAAAACCGCAAAACACAAAACTGAAATTTTGTATATAACTCCGCATGGGCCTAATGAACCACAATACCAATTTTGGTGAAGATACATTCACACCCTACGAAGTAGTTACATGGACATACAACAGACAGTACTATTATATTTATATAGATTCCGTGTTTCTTTATTGAGAAGATTGGCTATGATCCATCCTGTATATTAACGTGTGACTTATATACAGTGTACCAATTGCTGTTTCATTTATGTTAATGTTGTTAGTTTTATTATTAAGAGATTAATTGCACTAATAGAGAGTAGGGTTCGTTATATTAAAACGATTTTGAATAAGCAAATCAACAAGTCACGTGAAAACCACAGTCGATGTCACGTAAGCGGAATGTATCAGTACTATATTTCGACAATCCCTGGCATTTCATAGGGAGTATGATGAAAACCAAACTTGGTTGCTTTTAGGAAGGACAGGTAACAACCCTTTTTGATGCAAAACATTCATACACGCAGATCGTACAAGTTTGTTCAGAATTCGAGGCTTTAGAATTTCTAAGGCGGATGGGGTATTAATTGTATTTAATAGCATTCGAAAACTAAGGAATATCGATAAAATGGGGTACAAGGGTCATTCGGATAGAGCCCTACAACAAGTCTGTAACGACTTGGTGAGATTCCTAAATTGTTTTAATTTAACATATTCAATCTATGTATATGTGGTCCAAATCCTCTTTATTTACTATAATTACTAAAGATATTGATAACCTTGTATTAAATAACTTATATGACTATTTACTTGGTCTAATTTTTTTATGACTAGATATGAAATGTATGATTACAAGATTGTTTGCTAGAAGGTGGTTACGGTAGATTAAAACCTGTTGGGGAAAACTACTGTGTTGTATATATATAACATGTTAATAAGGACTATTTGCATGAAGATATGAGTTGGGTTTTAACATTTCTCACGAATGTCGAATCAGTAATATTATAATATGTAATAATGTCTTTTGTTATATATTTATTTATTTAATTACACGCTATTGGGGTTCAACACTGGTCACAGCATAAGCCAGTTGAACAGTCCACGTCACAGCTAATTTGTTACGCATACGTAGCCCAAATAGCGGGGCGCTATCCCTAATTTCGAACCACCAATCGCAGGGAGATAACTGGCCGGCTGCAACCACTTTTAGTATACACTTTACCATTATGGAGTTTAATATTTACTTTGTGATTATTAAATATTGCATATCGTTTATGATTTATTTTAATTTTTTTAACACCAGGTACCTAATGTAAATAAAATGATTTTAATATTATTATTTTACTTTTGGGAATGTTTGCACCTGTCTTGGTACGGGCTTTCCTCTCCCCCCAATAATCTCCTCAAGGCTCTTTCACTGATAATACCCAATTAAATTTCATTTAAGTAACATCTGTACTTTCTTCATACTTTCACGTTTGTTTTATTTTCACACTTTCATTCTCTTTCCTTCAGTCTTCTAGTTGACCAGCGTGAGTTTGTTTCATTTTTTTTTTGTTCCGTCAGTCTAGGGCCCAGCATGGCCAGGTGGTTAGGGCAAACTCGCAATCTGCGGGTCGCGGGTTCGAATCCCCGTCACACCAAACATGCTCGCCCTTTCAGCCGTGGGAGCGTTATAATGTGACGGTCTATTCCACTATTCGTTGGTAAAAGAGTAACCCAAGAGTTGGCTTACACTGCTAAATTAGGAACGGCTAGCGCAGATAGCCCTCGTGTAGCTTTGCGCGAAATTCATAACAAACAAACAAACCGTCAGCCTAACTGCAATTTCATTGACGACATCACTCGAAGATTTTATTAGTTTGCTCAAGGTCTGTGTCTAACCAGCTTGATGGCTTATGTTCTAATAGATAATACACCGCTGTGGTCTAGGATATACGTCTTTATCAGATGAGCCTTCGAACCTCTCAAAGGTTTTACCCAACTTCTTTGGATAAAACGTGTCTCCAATCCCATGGCGAGATTTAGGGAGTTTGTCAGGAGTATGATCCTGCCATGATCTCTACTGTTAGTGGTCAACCAAACAAGTGCGTTCATGTGTGCATCAAGTTCCGCTCTGAACGATCTGTTTCGCCTAGTTTTTGCCGTTGACTAACCAAATACTATTTGCTATGATCAGTATTGGTTTATACTCATATATCCATTCTGCTTTCTATTTCAAGTGCTTATATAGTGAGTGATAATGTTTGAGTTGTTCCTGAATAGAAATACTGAGTCATTAATACTGGGGCATTAATACAGAGTCAGCAGTACCGAGTTAATAGTATCAAGTCAGTAATACTAAGGCATTAAAACCGAATCAGCAGCCCTAGTAACAACGAATCAGCAATATCAGTTAATTATACCAAATCGACAGTATAGGATAACTAATACTAAATGAAAAATAATGAGCTGTTCATGCCGACTTATCAATACCGGACCTGTCATATCAAACCAAATACCCCATTTGTATTACCGACGCAGTAAAACCTGATCAATGTAGAGCAATACTGCCCAATCAGTATTTTCATTTCAGTTGTACCACTACCAGGACTTTAGAAGCTGATGACATGATACCACACTATGTGCATCAGCTGTAATATTATATGTTGCAATAGATGAAATCAAAATTTTGGGCTTTTATTTTGATCATTTGATATCTTGATATTGCGCTTCCTTTATATTAGTTTTTTCTTTCGACTAAAAAAGTTAAAATGTTTTTAATTGTAGAGAGTCCGTATTTTGGTATTTTCAACCTGAACAATTCTTTGTGAGACACATAGGTTAGACAGGTCAGGTAGGGACTCCTAAGATTCAAGTATAGCCATCCCTAATTTCGCACTGCTGACCAGATGGAGAGCTGACAGTCAGCAGCACCTGCCGCCTATGTAACTACTCTTAACCTAATAGTTATTTTTACGTCACAGTTATAAAGCCTTGAAATTTGAAAATACATTATATAACCAATGTTATATCGCAGCTCAAATTTGGACAGAAACAGAATACGCAGAAACAATCAAAACACACGGTTGTGTGGCCAAAACAACCTGCAGGACACACAGTGTGTTATTAACAGGAGTGATAGTTCAGCGATTTTCCACCTTCTGTAACTCGGACTATGGTAACCCAGACTATCACATATTTTCAGATGATGTGCTCTACTGGACCCTTACTTCACACACCAAATTTCAAGGCAATCCATTAAGAAATACACGAGGTATAAAATCTGCAATTTTGATTGAATTTCTTCTTTTTTTTTCTTCGCAACGAAAGTACGGAACCTTTATTTGATAGAAAAACATTCTTGACTTTCATGGATGTTCTTCAAAACTTGGTACACGGATAGATCTTTACAAACTACAATTAGATATCAAATTTGGTCTAAATATAAGCCACTTGTGCAAAGTTATTCAACAAAAACAGCTCCATTGTGACCAAATTTTTGCGTAAGTCTACGCAAAAAGTCACCACAGTTATCGGTCTAAAACTTTTACAACAGCTTCATCTAATAGTCAAAGTTAACCATTTTTAATTTTTTGTCATTCGGATTAAGGACAGCTGATTTAGAGCAGCAAAATTATAGGGGTGAAAACACGTGCAGATACACAAATATTGGTTATGCTAAGCGAACTAGATTAGCAGTTTCTAGCTCAAGTTTTCAAGAGAATCATACGCTTGGATGGTTATTAATCATTATTCACTGCCCATTTTCAGCATAAATTTGCAAACTTTTATGAAATTCTCCCAATTAAAGAGCATTTAGCGTCACCTGATATTAGCTTAAGTAATTAGCGTAAATAATGATGCGTGATAAAGCTATACGGAGTGCATGCGGGTGATGACAAAAACTTTAATCTAGTTTCCATGGCGTTACTATAAAGGAAATTATTATCTTCTCTCCCAGAGGGGGGGGGGATTTCGATCGGGCTCGTGTGTGTGTTTGTCTGCGTTTTTGCACATGAATAAATGACGTACATGAATAATTTTTACAAAATGGGAAGTCAGTATGGAACAGTCCTCCCCAAATCTGGTCTGAATCCAAATCCAGATCCAGATGCTGGATCATTTGAAGTATTTTTCATAAGGGGAAGATAAGGTATTTCGGGCTTTGGGTTAATAATTATGTAAAGTGTGATCGGATTTGTACCACATTTCATGGAAACATTAAGGTTGAGACTTCTCATCACACTATCGTCATCCGTATCGTTGATCATTCTGGCTCTGAGAAGGATTTTCTAAGTTTTCGAAGGTGAAATTTGTCGTTATCCAATATAAACGTAAGCAATCTCGAAAAGGAGCAGCGGAGCGAGGGTATGCAATATCTGTAATTACTCATGATAATACCATATATTTTAAAGAATCTGGTTGGTTCTGGAAAGTATAAGTCTGTTCCGAATAATAGGGTTGTGATCCTAAAGCTAATGTTGGTTACTATCGAGTGTTACTTTCTTACTTATTGTGGTGTGTTGGGTGTGTATTGATAAAAAATTATGATATCTAATCAAAAACACCTTATGAGTGAAATAAAAATATGGATTGAGTGTGCGACTTAAAGGAATGAAATCAAAATTGGCGGTTAAACTGGCAGTTACACTTATTGTATTGATAAGAATTTCACAGCCAATGTTCATTCATTTGTTAGCCAGGCCATGTATTTTATTATTATTTTGTTGTTGTTGTTCTTGTCCACACCTAAGGTGTTTTTGATTAGATTTATATACATAACAGGGGAATGAAGTAAAGTTGCCTGCGTACGAAAAAGCTGTGGATAAAAAGTCAGACAAAGTTTGAAATCCATCAACAAAGAGAGAGAGAGAGAACAAAAAAACCTACTTGGAGCACGTGTAGGTGGAAAAGAAGTGACTACACTGACCGCTGCAGATTCAGACACTGTGAAGACAGAAAAAACAGTCAGGGTTAACAACTACACCATAGCTTATCATAAAAAGCAGTCAGGGTTAACAATTATACCATAGTTTATTGTAAAAAAGCAGTCGGGGTTAACAATTAGATCATAGCTTATCATAATAGGCTACATACATTAGTAATAATAAAAAACAATCCAGCCTTGTTTAAGTAAAAATGAAGTTAGTAATAAGAATAACTGTTAATGTTTACTGTCAAACATTTATTAATCAGAGATGAATAAGTTGCACTGTCTTATTGAATTTTAAACATGCTTGTTATTGGATAAAATTCAAAGAAACTTGTATAAATATTTCAAATATATTAAAATGCTCAACGATCAACGTTATATAATATTCATTAAAAATGTTTTAGTTAAAAAAACGATTAACGGTCGTAAAAAAGACACTCTGCATGTTTCGACATCATTTACTTCATCTTCAGGAATGTGAAAAACAAATGCTTTGCAACATATGATTACAAAAAAAGGCATGGTCACGTGACTATTAGTTTATATATTTAAAATATCACGCCATCTACTTACTTTCTGATTTTCCTAACCCTTCATCCTTATTTGAAATAAAACCATTTTTACTCTGCTTCATTATTTCTATGGTTTCTCTAATATTTCTAGCCGTCATATTATTTGGAAAAAACTGTTGGCTCAATCCAATGATATAACAGCTAGAAATATTAGATAAGCCATAGACATAATGAACCACAGTAAAAATGGGTTAGAAAATCAAAAAGTAAATAGATGGCACGATCTTTTAAATATGTAAACTAGTAGTCACATGACCATGCTTTTGTTGTGTGTTTATATTCTGCACAGTATTTGTTTATCATACACTTGAGAACGACGCGAATGACATCGAAACATGTAAAGTGCCTTTTTTACGAACGTTGATCGTTCAATATTTTCATATATTTTAAATGTTTATCATTTAAAGATTTCAATGGAAAGCATGTATGCATGTTTTTACCTTGACACAGTGTTAAAAATATATTGGTTTCGACATGAAAAACTAAATATTCTTGTCTCTCACCGACTGTTAAAATATAGGCAACCAGAAAAAACACGTAAATTAGTTCACACATATAGCACCAGGAGATGTTTTTATGTCGGTAGTTGTTAGTCATCTTCAGTTTTGGATACCTGGGATCAAAAATAAATTAAGAATAGTAAATATATAAATCTGTATGAAATACTGTTATACGTGTATAATAATTAAAACTGCTAACGTATTAGTATCTCGCACTCTTCCTATATGAGTAAACAATAATAACAACTGACTTCAATATATAGAATTATACACGGACTTTTCTCTACGTTAAAATACTTTTATTTGCCCGCTTTCGGCCCTCTTACCGGAGCCTTCATCGGGAAACAATGTACTGAGCTATAAAAATCCGTTAAACTGTGGAACACTGTTTTAAAATAGGTATCTGGGCAACAATAGTAACAATAACTGACATTTGGAATTAAAATTATTAAACACATAGAATTATGATGAATGTAAAATTTTTGTGATTTTTCTAGACTAGACCTTTTGTAACAGAAGGGTATATGCATAATATAATAAAGTACATATAGTAACATCTAATATATCTTCAATTTAAACATCTAAAACTTTGCAAGTTAAAATGAAATATTTAATTATATGTAAATGTAAATGAAAGTTAGTATAATACAGTCGATTAAAAATGTACTGTGGCTGTACAATTGATGACTTGTATAAAGTTTACTAATGTTTAACACAGAATGAAAGGGCACATGGGAGAAGCTATTGTGCCCCTAAAGAACATACTCTATAATTCTGGACTAAATAGATATGTAGCGTTGTTTTTACGATTGGTGTCCCCCAATGGAACAGCAGTAAGTTGAGGGATTTACAACGCTAAAACGCGGGGGTTATTTTCCCACAGTTGACACAGGAGATAGTTCAATGTGGCTTTGCTCTAAAAACAAACAAATCACGGTTGGTTAGTAATTAAGCCTATAATTAGAAATATATTATTGCTTTTGAAACATGAGGGATATAATCCCCTGTTGTTGAAAAAGTGTGGGGAATATATGAAACACAAGACATTCCGACCTTCGTATAAAGTACTGCTATTCTTTTAGCGAATTTAATATACAAATATATTAATGAAATGCTTAACCAATCTGAAGGCGGATTTCCTTAGGATTAAAACTGCATTGAAACATCTCGTTGGACTACGGATGTTATTTTAATCCAGATTGGAGAAAGAAACATACATTTGAGATTAATTTTATGTTCCTCACAGATTATTATGTTCAACACTATAGCTCAATCAGCTACGCTGTACCTGTGAAAAGAAAAGCCTACATGAAATGTTATTTGTATGCAGTTTAAAAAATATAATATTATGGTGTTAAACACGCATGTTGGCGAAGCCTTAAAAGCTCTTTGCGTCGTACAAGATAGCAGTTTTTCCTTCTCTTAATCCTTTTTCTTTTATCTTCCACACTTCCACTGGCCAAGAGACCGACCCTTTGTCATACACTAGAATACTTTTTAACACTACCATGTCTAGTTTTTAGCACTGCATACGTACAATATTTCAGTTAGAACGTTGGCTGCTGTGGGTCTGTTTTAACTGATGTTAATCACTTTTGGTAAATAAACGATACAAATCGATTGACTACGATAATAGTGTGAAAAATAAAATATTTAGGATAACCTGACGTTTATCATACCTCTTAAGTCTAAAGAGCTTTTTGTCTTAGCAGTCTAGGCGTTTTAAGATAATTACATAAACGTAGATTTATTTGTCGTTAAAATGACCTCTACTGCAGTTCGTAACTGATGTACGATTGATCATTACACACTTCTTCTAATAGAGTATTACACATTTTCAAGTTTAGAAGATATTAATTCTCTACCAACTAGAACGTTTCTAACGCTAATATCCAGGTTTCGATGCCCATGGTTGACACAGCATAGACAGCCTGTTGTGTAGCATTATGCTTAACTGCAAACAAACCATCCAATTAGATCGAAGAAAGGAAAGCACAGCAGTGTGACTATAAGCTATTGCTGTTTATCAACTCTAATTGTAAAATAGCTGAGGATACGAATAGAGGAAAAGAATACTTATCCTGCAAAATTGATTAGAAACTCTCCACTTGATTCACGAAATAGAAGTTTTGTTGAAAGTTCGAAATAACATCGAGCAAATCAATCCACCTTTAAGTATGGCTCCGGTCCCATACTTTCATGGATGGAAGTTCAGGGTGACTCAGGCCTCGTACATATGCAGAACTGTTTTAACCTTTGTTTTAGCTGATTCTAACAAAAAATTCAATTTCTTGTGGATAATAAAGTTACGTTTCTTTAGCTATGTAACTCGTTGGATTAGCAATCCTACAATATATATATACACTGAGTGGTCACAAGTAAATAGACACCTAATTTTTCGTCATTTAATTGA